ATCTGGATTGAAATTCTTCAGAAACAACTGATTCTTGTGCCGATTGACAAAACTGTACACAAAACCTCACTCGATTGGAAAATTTGTCTCAATCGAGTTCAAATGGCAGTATAATGTACATCAGAAGATAAATAAAAACATTTCGTATCGCTTTTGTTGTGGACCGTCATATATGTTTGTTGTTTGTATTTATTTTGCATTAAAAAAAGGTTTGACAAATTATTTGAGTTTTGAATGCTGTGGATCGCTACCTTTTCTATTCGTGCGCCTGACTTTCTGAGTACTTTTTTTTCGTACATTAATCAAATGCCACATGCAAATTTTCTGTATTATTTTTTCCAAAAATGTGAAGATAACAAAAAACAAGTGACGTTCATCGATATCAATGGTCGATTCACTGGGCCCTAGACTGACAGAAGCATGACAAACAGACGTTCGTATTTTTGCGATCATTTGTGCCATAGAGATGGTCCCTTGTGCCGTGAAAATGGTCGTTTGTGCCGTGGAAATTGTCACTTGTGCTATTGAAACTGTCATTTGTACCATAAAAATGGTCCTTTGTGCCATAGGAATGGTCATTTGTCCCATAGAAATGGTCATTTGTGCCAAGCGCTTGTTACAGACAGACGGCCAGATAGACACAGGTGAATTACGGTTTCTAGACTCTAGCCTTTCAGTCTAGGGGAAAAGAAGCGCTAGATTCAATCATTCACATGCATATAGAAACAAAATTTTTGTTATTTTTTTACAAAAGTAATACACTTTCTTTTTTCTGAATTGAATTTTTTTAAAAACCTTTTACATTGCAAAGGATGTGTGCCATAATGTTAAGAGCAAATCAACATTTACTATTCAGAGATAGATGCATGTGAACTTTTATTTACATTACTCTTCACGATAAGGTAAACTGTAATGTAAAAGATGCTGTCATATGAGTTAAAATTTTGTGATGTATTATAATTTTGTCTTTATTCGTCATTGCTCCAATGAGATCATAGGATTTCGAGGAAGGTGATCATAAAAATATCAGAGTATAACAAAAACTACTTCAAAATCATCCCTCGCCCTTCATCCATGTGCAGACCTATGTTTATATATTTAAGAATAGAAATAATTATTTAGCAAGATCAAAGAGAACATTTCGTTGTTCACAAATTCTAGCACTATGTTTGATTTATACTTAGAAAGTATTTATACATTACGCTTGGTGACATGGGAAACTCTTCTGGAACACCTGCTATAAAAAGAAAGTATTTGAACAAGAAAAATGTTATACAATATTGCGAAAATAAGATTGTTCAAAATTTTGTTCTCATATGGTTAGATTCGAACGTCAATCAATCACAAAAAGATTGTCAGTATACTTTATCTCAATTACTAAAAATCTGTAATTCAATTAGATTATTTACTGATTTGAACGAATGTTATGATTTCATTGAAAAAACAAGAGATGAACAAATATTTATTATTGTATCTGGAAAACTCGGAGAAAAATTAGTACCACTTGTTCATAAATTTGTTCGACTCGATTCTACTTATGTATTTTATGGACAACCATCACTTCACAGATGGACACAACAATGGAAAAAGATAAAACTTGTTACTAATCAAATTGAACCTATTTGTCAATCACTTGTAAGGGATCCTGCACAATGTGAACAAGATTTGACCCCAACTAGTATTCTATCGTTGAATAATTCTTCGAATCCGGATTTGCAACAAGTTAATTCATCATTTATGTATTCACAACTAATAAAAGACATTCTATTGGAAATAATCTATGGTGAACCAGCGAGTTTGTTGATTTTTGTCAAAAAAGTTATCATGACAATCCAGATCAATTAAAAATAATTGATGAATTCTTACATCATTATCACGAACATTCACCTATTTGGTGGTATATTCGTGAATGTTTTGCTTATCGAATGCTCAATCGTAGTTTGAGAACTTTTGATATTAATATTATTGCTGGGATGGGCTTCTTTATGAAAAATATTCATCAACAAATTAAAGAAATACATTCAAAAAGATCCGATCGCATGGGGCTCATTTATCGTTTATCGAGGTCAACGAATGCTTGATGATACATTTATTGGACTAAGAAATAATATTGGTGGTATATTTACATTCAATAATTTCCTTTCTACTACTGATGACTGGAATGTCGCGATGAAATTTGCACAAAGATCTACAGATCAAGATGGTAAAACTTCTGTTCTATTTGAAGTAGAAGTTGATCGAACTGTAATAACAACTCCATTTGCTTCATTAAATGATATTAGTTATTATAATGAAAGAGAAAAAGAAATTCTTTTTTCGATGCATACCGTTTTTCGAATCGTTCAAGTCAAAGAAAACAATGATCATATATGGAAAGTTAGCTTGAAATCGGTGAGCAATAACGATTTACAAATTATACAATTAACTGAACAGATAAGACGAGAAATTGGGGAAGGAAGTGCGATCGATCGATCAGGTCGATTAATGATTACATTAGGCGAACTTGACAAAGTCGAAGCAATGTATCAACTATTACTTGATTCAACACATAATAATGATGAAAAAACAATTGCTTCAATATATAATCAATTGGGATATATTAAATATAAACAAGGAAATGATCTGGAAGCTCAAACATTCTATGAAAAAGTAATGAAATTCAAGAAAAAATAAGTCCTTCAACTAATCTTGATCTAGCAGCTACTTATAATAATATGGATCTTTTGTGTACCAACTTCAACGACACTTCTAAAGCACTGTCATATCATCAAAAAGCCCTTGGTATACGAGAAAAAAGCTGACAGTAAACCATCCAGATCTAGCTACTACTTATAACAATATCGGACTTGTATATGATCAAAGACAAGAATATGCAATTGCTTTGCCATATTATGAAAAGACACTTAAAATCTATAAACAAATTCTTCCAGCAAATCATCCTTGGTTGGCTACCGCTTACAAAAATATTGGTCTTGCCCAAATATCTATGGGAGAACACATGGCTGGACTTAATAATCTTCAAAAAGCTATGAATATACGAAAAGAAGTACTTCCATCTAATCATCCATCGATAGCTTCTATATTCAGCACCATTGGTGAAGTATATCAAGAAGCAGAAGACTACTCGACTGCCCTCACCTTCTATCGTGAAGCATTAGATATTGAAAACAAAGCTTCTCATGTTAATTATTCAAGCTTAGCTATGACTTATTACAAAATGTCGAGAATATTGAGTAAGCTCCAACAATATGATCAAGCCCTGATATGTGCTGAACTTGCTGTTCAATCAAATCAAAAGTCTTCGACACCAAATAATAAAGATACAATAAAGTTTAAAGAAAATTTCGATCAACTTCAAACGAAACTATCATGATTGCGCGTTATTGATACAATTCGGGGAAAAAACGAATGTGGTGGATGTGGATGTCGATCTTCTCTTCATTCAGATACGCATACCTAAAACTAAAATTTATTTGTAAATAAAATAAATTATTTCGTAGTTTTGCGCCTGATTAAAAATGAATTTCTCCTAAGACATATCTATCCTATTTCATAAACTTCAGTGCTATTTTGGGCATAGACATTGTTGTAAACATATTCAAATAATCTTATTGAATTGGTTTTTCATGATATTTTTGTCTCAACCATATAAAAAAAGAAAACATGTCGAAACGTATTTTAATATTACACTCCATGAGAATACAATGTTAAATGTGACTCATATTGAGTGCATGACTGATGTTTTTCTCATTCTAGTACAACAAATAGTAAAAAATTAATTTGATATGTTTTCGCATGTTTTCTAGTAGCATGCTTTTTTAATAATCGTGTCTATATTGACTAGTTACGTTAATAATTATGACAAGTTACCGCTGAAAAGCCCAATAGAAAATTAAACGATTTCAAAACAGGAGTCTCTTGAACGAATCGGGTTGACAAATTCTTCTAAGTGTGCTCTTAACCGGACAGAACTGGCCACCAAAGCCCATCACTAGATTCTTAATTCCAAGCTTCTATCACTTGCTCGCCAGACGTATTTCTTCATATGGATATAGAAAATTTCGAATAATGACTCAGATGGTGCCTATATATATATACATATGTTTTGCATCGGTTCAAAATCACAAATTCAAACAATACAAAAAAAACTCAAACTGGTCATAAATCTATGAAACAATCTTTACATCTCTTATTTTCACAAAACGTGCAATAGTTAAATGAATTCTTAAAAGAACTCATATAAATTATTCTTCAAGCACTCTTGATAATATATGATAGGTCTCTCTTGAATACAAATTGGATCAGCAATGTTCAACTTTCCAAAAAAAAGTAAATTTCTCTCATCAATTATTCAATGTCAGAAATGACTCCTACAAAAATAGTATACCGATTAGAAAGTTCGGAGATTGCCATAATCATCATCACGGTGATCGAAACGAACCGTTCCAAAATACATCACTTTTCAGAAAATTTGGATCATTTCCGATATTTCCTTCTATGAGTACGGTGAACATTTTAACAAACCAACAGGGTCTTTGCAATCGAGTAATCGATAGAATGCATTTTCAAATCAAAATTTTCCTTCTGCCAACAATCAGATGAAAGTTGGAAAAATTTTTTTTCTGACGAGCAAATTCAAAAAGAAGATCCTTCCATTGAGGAAACTAACCAATTTCTCAACTGTTTGCAAGAAGAATCTATCACAGTATCCAATCAACAATTGTGTGAAATAGGTTTAGTAACAAGAATTACACTAACAATTATTCTTTCTCTCTTCCAACGAAAATTCGCAAAAACTTGATTTGATTACATCTACCCTCCAAAAATTTTTGAAGAGTGTTGTCATTTCCTATTCAAAAAATCTTGTTGGTTTTTTTTCTCGTTCTACAAGTTTTCTATTGCGCATCTCAGATTCTCGAAGAAGTTTCATTGAAACCAATAGCTTCTTTCTTTGAAAGAGCATTTCAAGACGCAGTGCAGTACAGTGTCCTTTGTTGATAGAAATTCATTTTTATTATGTACTCAAATACTTATATATTGGGAACGCCATATTTCGAATTTTTTTTTTTTTGAATCATGAAACTTGTCATGTCTTTTCTCTCCTTTAAAAGTAAGAATTTTAAAAGAAAGCTCTGTATTGCATTCCATTTCTGACATGTTCTTTCAAACAAAAATAAGTTAAATACACAGAATGAGCTTGAGCAGAAAAATTTGTTTTGCTTATTGAGTTATTTTAACCTTTATTCGTTGAATATCTTCTAAAAACATCATGATATACAGCTGAAAATTTTACCATCGCCTTCTCAGACTAGCTCTAACGTCTCGTAAAAATTTCATGCAATTTGAATGTTCCTGCATCAGGATCGATTTTTTAGGGGAAGAGAAGCAACTAACACCCTCTAGAATAAAAGATACGATAGAGGAATATAATTGGTTTGTGATTGGTGTTTTTTATTTCATTGTTGCTGGCATGATGTATTTTTAGGTATAGTGTCTAATAGATGTGATGAACCGTAGCTGCCTTGAGTCTGATCACGTTTTTAGACTCCATCACTGTTTCTTTGTAGTATTATAGAACGTGTTACTGAAATCTTCAAAATCATAAAATTTACAATACCTTGATTGTCTGTTTGAATTGATTAATATAAATAATTCATCATCCTGATATAGAGAGTAAGCTAGAAATATAAGTAACTAGGCGGATGAAATACTAAAGAGGTGAGTATCTTATGTTCGAAGATAAGATAATAGAGAAAAAAAAAACAAAAAAGCGAATAGAAAATTATTTTCGTTTTACATTGATAATAGAAGCAAGCCAAATCAACTGATAACTTGTATTCATTGTGTGACAAAATGAAAAGACTTCTCTTGATATGTCTTTTACTTTGTTGGATCAGTTGTCCGGTTGATTCTTTTGGTCATTCATTATTACCACTTTTTTCTCTTGATCCATCTTATATAAATATCAATCATGGTTCATATGGTTCAGCACCAAAATATGTTCATGACAAGCTTCGAGAATATCAATTAAAAGCTGAACGTAATCCTGATCGATGGTTTCGCTTAGATCTTCAAATTGAAATGGAAAATTTACGAAAAAAATTAAGTAAATATATTAATTGTGATCCAGATGATCTTGTTATACTTGAAAATGCATCAGCTGGAGTAAATTCAATTCTTAAATCATTAAAATTTCAATCAAATGAAACTATATTATATTATGATATTGCATATGGAATGGTTAAATTAACATTACAATATATTTCAACAGAACTCTTTACTCAAGAACAAATTATTCAAATAGAAATTGATCATCAAACTATTCAAAATATAGATTTATTATTAAAAAAAACTCAAGATGTAATAGACAAAATAAAAAATGTTAAATTAATTATTTTCGATCATATTAGTTCAGTACCAGCAATATTATTTGATATTGAAACAATGATAAAATATTTTCGTCAACAAGAAATTTTAACATTAATTGATGGTGCACATGCAGTTGGTGCTATTGAACTTAATTTAACAAAATTAGATCCAGATTTTTATTTATCAAATACACATAAATGGTTATATAATCATCGAAGTGCTTGTTTACTTTATGTAAAAAAAGATTTACAAAAATTAATTCATCCAATAATAACATCATTTGGTTATTTACAATCATTTCAAAATGAATTTTTTTGGCTTGGAACAAAAGATTATAGTCCTTATTTGACTATATCAGATGCTTTAGATTTTCGACAAACAATTGCAAATGAAACAGATATTTTCAATTATAATCATCAATTAGCTATTCAAGCTGGAAATTTAATTGCAAATATGTGGAATAGTTCAACATTAACATCAAATGAAACATTTATAAGTACAATGAATAATATTGAATTACCTTTATATATTGATACAAAAGATAAAATGAATAATTTATATCAAAAATTAATTAATCAATATAATATATTTTTACCAATGTTTCAATTTGATAATAAATTTTATTGTCGAATTAGTGCACAAATATATATGGAATTAGAGGATTATCAAACAGTTGGAAAATTTGTTTTAGATATCATTTCAAATCAAAAATTTTCTCCAAATTTAATACAAACAAAAGATGATCCTTGTGATTATTAAACAATTTTTGTATTCAATAAAAATATTTCTATTGTTTTATCAACGTTATTATAAATAAATTGCGTTTCTTATCTGACTAAAATCACCAAAGAAACCGTCAGTAGTTTAAAAACAAATGTGCAACATGAAATGTTGTGCGTGTGAATGTGATTCATATCTTCACACAAAGATGTGAATGTGGATGTTAGTATAGATGACGAAAAGATCAACACATCCACATCAAAATGTCGCTTAATGCTATCTCCTAGGTTGCTGTGATAATCAGCCATGGTGGAAAGAACGATCATTTCATTCAAACTGATTTACTCATTCGTTCTCACACTATATTCTGGTTGATTACAAGATTTTCTCAAATGACATGCATATACATATGACAATTGGCTCTTTTGTTTTCATCAAACGATGTTGAATGTCTTGAATAAGGAAAGAAACAAGCAGAACAAAACGATAGCTAAATTGACTGTATATAAATAGAAACTATGCTTCAGTTCCTTTGATAATCAATGAGAACAAGAACTAGGCGATGCACATTATTGTTGCTCATATTCGTAGAGATTTTGTGACACGGTTATTGTTAAGAGTACAAAAGACCTTTGTTTTAGAATCTTCTATAATATCGAAAAAGTCTCATAAAAAAGACTAATCATTATTGTGTCTGATTGTAGAAATTTTTCTCTTCACACATGATATTTAATCATTTGGAGAAAAGAGTTTTCTTCTGAATGTGAAGGCTATCCTTTCGATAATGTTGACTAAATCGTAGTTTCCATTCTATTAATATTTTAGATCGATTCAAAGAGCAGAAATATCGCTTCTGTTTACCTTTAAGAATTCTGTCAAAATTTCTCTTGATTCTGTGAATTATCAGCAGAATTTCGTCTCGACAACTATAGAGACCTGTTGTTGTAGCTCTTCGTATGTGACATTAAAATTGTGCTTGGATTTTAAAAATGCCAATCAAATGTTCGAAGAGTTCTATTACCATGAAATTCTGTTCTAGTTTTCGGGTTCTTCGCAGAATTTTGTATAGGCAAGAAGTCGATCTAATGATGATAGCTTATCAATCCCATGTATTTACCAGTTTTGTATACTGATAAATTGATAATAGGCGAACTCTGGTTCTACAAATTTTGCATGTTACATAAATTGAAAAATAAATGTTCGTACGTATGTGTGTTAACCTATACAATGTGTGACAATCTTAATTCGCTTTCTTCCTTTTTTTGTCAGTTGAATAGTTCGCTTCGATTTTTGATTCTTGTGATCTGTTATTGCTGATAACTATTTGTGCTAGCTAGATGTGCTATGTCATTGATTATGTTTTCTTTCTTGTACTTGCTTTCATGACTTATTTTTGCCACAGAAGAAATGCTATGTGATTTTTCTGCGATTGTAATTTGTTTTCTCGTTTCTTCTTACTGTTACATGGATTAAACCATTTTCATCCAGTTCTTCCGATTGTGTACATTTACTCTTTTTTTTTCTGTATCTTTCTTGAGTCGATATAAATATCAACAGTCATTGTTATTCATATTTTCCTTCATCTGAAATAAAAGTCGATCACGAAGATTACATCCATTCAATCGTTTGTTGATATTCACAGATGGGATGAGTAGCATATATGTGAATAGGTGTTTTTTTCTTTTCTGGAATGTATACCGAGAAAGATCAGACAGTGACCTATGAGTTTATGTGACACTCGTGCATAAATGTATAGCCTAAGTTTCATTGTAAGATGTCACATCTCTTGCTCTTCTATTTCTTTCATTAGTTTTTATTCTTTTCTCCTCTCTCGCATGCAATATATATGTATAGAAGGAGGAAGAGACAGATTAAAGAGAAGATCAATAGTGATCATGTGTTTTTCGGTATAAGCTAATGAAAAGGTAAGTAGTCTAAATAATTCAATTTTCTGAGTCTATCTTGCTAAATTATTGTATTTTTCGTTGATTTTCTCAGCAGATTTTGATATTTAACAAGAAATCTTTGATTTGAAATTTTTAACCATGACTTTCTCTTCATATTAGTAGTTCTAGTAAAAAAAGTGAAAAATGAAAGCGTCCTGATTTAGAACCGGACCATACAAATAAAAAGCACGTCCAAGACCGTCAAAAAAGTTTTTTTTTCTCCACTATTAATTTAACATTTATTTATATACGTGCTCGTATGATATATCAGCTAAATTTTCGAGTCAGCAAGAAATAAGTATCACTGTAGTGTTTGTTTCTATCGATTATATGGTATTTCTCTACTGGAAAAAAGTTTTTATTCACATTGGATTATATTGTGCAATACTTTCTACACGATTTACTTACTTACTTCGTCTGTAGGAAATGCGCTAAAAGGATAATTTTCACTTCATTCATCATCATTGTTAGCAATAGGAGAACGAGTTCTTTACCGTCGTTTAAATGGACAAATATTTTCTCGCACATTATGCATTTTATTGAAGTAGACATCTATAGATTAAATATACAGCACAAATTACAAATACAAAGAAAAATATTAGTGACAGAAAATAAGCCAATAACGAAAAATATTTAAGAACGTAAGATAGAGTTGTTGTTTAATTGAAGAATACAAGTTTGAATGATATATGATAGTAATATGTGTTTTTTTTTCCTGTAAAATTTGTTTCTTCAGTGAATGTACATATATGCATTTACGATTTTAATGCTTGTATTAATGCCAATGAAATGAATGAAGATCATTTGTAGAGAAAGTTTCAACTCGTCACGTAACGAGTTGAACAAACAGCAAAAATGAGGACTTTCGTAACGCCAAAAATAGGAATATCCAAAAAAACAGAATTGTCGTAACGAAATGTACAGGACGATCGGAACGGTTAATACAGAGAGTTCATAACAGTTGCAGAGCTTTCGCAACGAAGCAACAGGAATTTCGTAATGAAATATATGCTAGTCGTGCGTCATTTACGTACAGAAATTACATGGGTTTCGTAACGAATTGTACAGGGTTTTTGTAACGGCTAAAATAGGAGGGTGTGGGTGTAGATCTTATCTTGAATTAAACCCACACCCACATCCCGCATTATAAGAAGAATATACTTAAAATAATATGATAATGTAAAGAAGGCATCAGATATTTTATAATGTTTACCACAATTAATCAAAGAAATGATAAAATAAATATATCTTTGACTAGTTTCGCGATCACATGCATTGAGATAAGACACAATTTGAGTGATATTGATGAAGGAGAATGTTTCCTACTAGTCTCTTTGGGTACAATTCTAGTCAAAACTGCTTTTTTTATGAAAATAACTCTTTGCATATATGCTCCAATGCAACTCGACAAATTGATTCTGAATATCAGTTTAGTTTCCTATTCAAGTGAAATATGAATACCAAAAAATGCATTTCCACCCGAAGTCGTCAGGTTTTTGCTAAGCTTCTAAAATAGCCTAGCAAAGAATCCATCAATCGGCGCAATTACCAGTATTAGGATACATATCTAGGAATATCTGGTAAAATCTTGAACTTGATTAGACGTTACCTATTTGTTGGGTTTACAATATACAGAATAGTAGACTTTCAAATAGGTACTTAGTCTAGAAATTCTGTGTTTTCTGCTTTATTCTAAATTAAATTATATTTATTCTTTTAAACAGAAAATGGTAGATCCTTTATGGGTGTGTTTTAGCCAACATTTAGGTTTTTGAAAAAGAATATTTTCGTACAGGTCGGCCTGAATCTCCAAAGTGTAGTTAAATAAATCTCTATGTTCTTATTTGAAAATAATAAGAGCAAATCAAATTAGCATTTAATCAATGTATAGATAAGTGTTTGAATCTGTTTAACATAATTAAAAGAAATATTTACCTAGAAGATTTAAATAACTATGATGAAATCTTTTTCAAAGAATAGCAATACATATAAATACAAACGTCAATATTTTTCTTTAAACTTTGTGATTAATTGTATTAATAAACTAATCAATAGTGAACACAATAATCAAACGTGAAACACTTCTATTGTTTTTCTTTTGTTATCGAACTATTTAAAAAATGGTCCTAGCTATTTGTTTTTTTAAAGAGATTCGTCTAATCAAAAATTTGATTATTCAATCTATTGTCTTCAATATTATTTTGTGACGACTTGTCCAGTTTTCCGGTATCAATCTCATAAGAATTTATTTGTGGACTGGTTAAGTAATAGACACATTTGCACGCACGTGACGGCTTTATTTCTCTACGTAGTGCAAACAACGAAAAAAGACCCAATGCCCTATCATTAACATGTTCTACTGTTGAGTGTAAAAAAAGAAAGGAAACTTTGATCGTATACAGATAATAAAGCAAAAGAAAATAACATACATTGATATCTCTACAGAATGAAAGAATCAGTTGTAGACTCGTTCTTTTCTGTCGACATTCTAAAATACATATATAAGATTAAGTTGAAACTAATTTCAACTACTTTTATTATTTGAAAATATGTTTTTATTAATCTTATTTTTATACAATGGTATTCGATCATAATTCGACTAAGAGGTAATTTAGAAAATTGATAAATATTCCATTTTTATATCAGAGTCGTTGACTTCATTGACATATTCAATGAATTTATGGTTCACATGTCTGATCTTTGAAATAATGTTAAATTCAATTGAAGACATTTCGGATTTTGTTTATATTCAAGTAACAAATCAGAAAAAATAATTATAAAACAATTAAATCTCGACAGAATTTATTAGGAAATTAGGTCAATATGAATAATCTTCATTAGGTCTAATATTAGCGAATAAATAAAAATGTTATCTTACAATAAAACTGAACTCTCCAACATTGAAGAACTTTTTTGAAATTATTTTTGAGTATTTTTTTAAGTTTCAACTATTCATAATAGGTATTTCCATGTGTTCAATTGTTTGTATACTATTGTTTTGACTAGACATCTGGTTCTCCTAATATTGTTTAGGCATTGATTTTGAAAAGAACGACAACTTATTAACAATTATTCTAATATGAGTTTATCTCAGAGAACATATCATTTAATATTTTTTTTTTCAAACGATCTCGATCAGTTTCACAAATGTATAATCTCTGTATCAAAATTTGTCATTAAATTCTTTAGACTTATAGAAGTACCAATTTATTTAACTCTACATGTAAGGGACTTAACAAAACATTTATTCATAAAATCTCTATTACAATTATTACTAGATAAATAAAATATAGAAACAAAAAATAATACTAGAAAAAAATTCGCATGATTATTGTAGAAATATCTAAAAAGGACAGAAGGAGATGTATATGACGTCAAATCGATCAATTAGTACTTTTTTTGTTCTAACCCCATTGAATCATATGTCAACCGAAAGAACATGATCAGATTAACATTTTAGTACTAGTTTCATGAAGTTTTGATTGAATCTTGAAAGTCAAAAGCTATCCACAAAATACCTTATATTTGATTTTTCTTTTATAATTGGTTCTATCATGATGGATTTAATTTCAGTATTATTAGAGATAAGATAATACGGTACTCATGTTATGAATTTGATAGCTTTTTGATAGGACTTCAATATCGTACATAAATCACCGATCGATCGTGTGATTCCATGACATATAGATCCGATATACTGGTTTTACTATAGTTATCATGCATACTTGTCTATCAACAAAACTATTTTAGTTTAAAAATTGGAATGACCGAAACTTTGGTGTGGGTGTATAGGTATCGATGAGGATGTAGAAAAGTCGAACACCTCCACCTCCACCCCCACTCACCTATACCTCTATACTTTCTTCATTTATTCGAATGTATTAATTTATAGTCTTTTTTATTGTAAATAAATTATAATACTAAATAGATTCGAAATGTTGATTTCATTTAAATAATTTATATTATTATTTAGATAATATTATTAAATAAATTCTTTACTAAATATATAAAACTTTCGAGTATGTATAAAAAAATCTTAAGGCGAACTCTTAATAATGATGATCATGTCATCGATGACAAGAAATCGTTATCATTACTAAATCGTTATTATATATTTCTTAAATGTCATTATTTTTTTTTGTATGCAACTTTTGGTTCATTTGTTCCTGTATTGAATATAACTCTTCGAAATCGTGCTCTTTATGATATTGAAATTTTATACATTAATTTAATTATTCCATTTATTGTATTTATAACAAATCCATTATTGGGATTATTCGTAGATCATCTTCGTCGTTTTCGTCTTGTATTTAACATAATTCTTATTTTGGCAACAATATCTCTTACTATTATGTTTTATTTACCAGCTCTTAAATCTTATTCAATTGATGGTCAAATTTATAAAAGTGATTTTATGGAATATTCATTAACTTTTTGTTCAAATAAACAATTTGCTAGTAAATGTGCATTAAGAGCTAAATGTGGATGTACTTATCAAGCTTTTTGTAGATCATTAATAACGATAAAAAATAATTTAAATGATAATAAACCAATAAAAACATTTCGTTTCAATTTTACAATGGATTCAACATATGTTAATGATGATCATCAAAATGTTTCTTTACGAACAAATGAAACTTCTCAATGCCTTGTTAATTATCTTTTACCAATTGATCAAACAATTAATATGTATAAAATAGATCAACCTATAGGTAATTAACTTTATTTTACATTAATTTAAGTGAGCAAATTTATTTATTTGATAACCTTTACAATTTCAATCTTGAACAGTTTTGGGTGAGTGCGGGTGTAGATTAAGAGCTAACTTACTCTTTCACACCCACACCCTTGTCGCATTGAGATTATTTTAATGTAAATGCACTGAATTTGTACCATTCGTATGTTTGGTACGTCAATCAGGGGCTAATGAGTATCTTCAATAGAAAAAAAAACAAATAGGAAATATTCTGAAAGTCAGCGGTGTCATCAGTCTTCGTTAGAAATAGAGTTGCAAAAGGCAAAACGGAGATAAGAGCTTTCACGTAGGCTGTTAACTAAAAAAAGAAACTTTAGAAAATGAAGAAAGATATTCTAGAAATATCACTATATGTATTCGTAAAGATCTTACTCGTTCTCAAAAAAAATATAATATTCGGTAAGAATAGAAATTCAACTTTTCATTTTCTGATTCAAAAATCAACTGCGTATTGATTTCGATTCTCAAGAGAAAATTGTGTCATTTTTTTCAGCTAATTGATGTGTAACGTTAAAATTAAAACTATTTATAGGCCAAAAACACATGTAAAGTAAAAAACTGAAAAACACATTGTTAAACATTACTTTTTAAAAATCGAAAAAAATAAATCGATATTGAATGAAATTTCTCTCAAAAAAAAAAATTAGAAAAAGGATGTGTCAATGAAGATAAAAGGAATACTAAAGCTCTTAGAAAATACTACTTCAGCATTCCATTAAAAAAGGCATAACTCCTAATGGAAGGTTAACTATTTAAAATAATATTTAGATAAGAAGCAGAATGTCTCAACCAGTGTTATCAAGTCAGAAAATCCAAAATACAGAGTGAAAGTCTCAAAACTCGGAAAATTCCCAAATTTTTTTTTTTAATCCGGAAAATCTTTAGAGAGTCAATTTTAACTAGTTAAAGTATGTTTTTCTCAACAAGATTGTTATTATCATTACCATTGTTCTTCATTTTCATAAAAAATATATTTCAATAAGAAAAAGAAAATAAATATAACATATTAAATCAATGTAACTCATAAATAAATCATATATTTTGATGTTAAGATAAATATTTTTCAGTCGAATCAAAGTGATTTATCAAAATTGACTTTCATATTTTTAAAATTTTCATGTTAATAATTATACTAATATAAAATCAATATCAACTACTATAGTTCTTCTTAATCAGTCTATTACATAATGATTTTGTTTTCTAAACAAACAAATACGTATATTAATTATTATCTATGAAGAATAATTCAAAAATAATTTTTTTTTTTAATCTTAATATTTGATTTATTTGTTAAAACTAATTATATTAATTCTATTTTAAAGATTTATTTAACGATGATGATCAATTATCAATAAATCTATATGATAAAATCGCTATATGTTATGTAAGATGTTCAATAAATAATATATGTTATGCATCACGTTATCCAAAACAAATTTTATTTATATTATTATATATATTTTTAATTATATTTGGTCTTGTTCTTTTTGCAATAGCAACATCATTATCTACAACCATAACTTTTTTTACATTAGATAATTCAAATTTATTTGGTAAACAACGTATTTTTGGAACTTTAGGTTTTGGAATAACAGCTTTCATTGTTAGTCGTCTTTATTTATATTTTAATAAAGAATATATTTACATATTAGTATTGATTATTTCAACAATTCTTTGTATAATTAGTACAAGTTTAATTAATATACAATATGATAAATTTAAACAATCTACAAGAAATATTTCAAAGAAATCTCTTAGAAAAATATCAAAGAATTCTTTTTTTGATAATCATCAACATAAAAATGAGAAAAAGAAAGAAATTTTATCAAATATAAGTTTACTTATTCCATTATTAAAACGATTCGATGTTATTGTTTTTCTTTTAACAACATTTATTTGGGGTACATCATTTGGTATCATTGATCCGGTAAGAATTTATATTTTATTTATTTATTTATTTACTTATTCAATGAGAATATGTCATTAACTATGAGTTTTTTTTTTCACCTTTTTTTTTAATAGAAAACTTTGATTTAAATAATCCTTCGAACTATGAAATATAGATATCTATGGAATTAAAAGAGAAATTCTTATATATATATGGGTGAATTGCGAAAGTATTGTACCATTGTCTCACTACCGCACAAAATTATCTCGGAAGAGTCTCGAGATATTAGAAACATAAGGATAAATAATCTGATTTTTACTACCACCTATTAGAAGAAAATGCAATATTACCCATTCACTCTCATTTCATTTGAACTTGAAAAGTTGATCATATTACAGCTAACAGTTTGTACTTATCGGATATAAAACTGATTGGTTCTTTCATGACATTTCTCATAACACTTTTTTCTATATACTATATATACAGTCAATCCTTGAATTACTGTCCCGCGAGATTAAAAATGACTTTGACATGTAACGAAGCATCTAAAATTCATCGAGTTGATGTTGAACGAAAGTCAATAAATGGGAGATAAAAGTGGTCAAAGACGATAAGAAAGTTATACTAATTTTTTGTTAATATAAAATATGAAATGAATATTAAAAAATTAGTTGTCACACGAGAATTTTTACTTTGTTTGACGTGTAACTCTCTTAAGATATGGCAGATTGAGCTGAAACTTTGACGATTTTATTCACTCATTGTGAGCAACTATTGATCAAAATACCAAGATCAGAAAATTTATCTTTCGTACAAAAGTGAAAAAATGTCACGCGAGATTATTATATGCGTCACGACTCCACAGTTGAAGCCAAAATAAATACATTATATATCAATTGATTTCATATTTAAAGGGCTATTAAGAGTCCTGCGAATTAATACTAGATTATGTCTCATAAGTTAGTTAATTCACAGAAAAAGGTCACTAATTATATACATTTTCTAATTGACTGCATATTTGCAAGTTTTATAGTTTTGTAAGTGTAAAAAATCAAATACAACTTAGGACGAACCAAGCTGTTTCAGGTGCTACTTCTAGATGAAGCATGCTTCCTCATTGCAAAGAAAAAGCTCAACATTAAAATCTAAACTACCGTCGAGCAATTCAACTGAGGCGTGTACTACCAAAGTCATATGACCTTGAATTGAAACAGTAATATTTACAAAAACTCTTATATCTTGGACAATTTGATAGTGGTAGTCGGGAAATTTTATTCATATTCTCTTCTCATGTAGTATCATAGAATGTACTAATCATCGTTTTAAAAATCAAAAATTTTTTTTCGTCAATTTTTTTCACCGAACGGTAAAATAATTTTGCAATTCATCCATATTGTATATATACTTCGAAATATATTGATTACATTCATACTTTATTCCAAGTGAATTACATGAAAATAATTTAACATATTTTAGAAAATTTAAATGAAGATATGAAAGTTTCTAAATAATAACATGTTTGAAAAATGTTTAGAAAATCAATTTGAAATGATATTAAATATTATTTTTAAAAAATTTTTTTCGAAAAATACCAAGAACAAAAATTGATTGAAAATAAATAAACTTCTATTAAATATAAATTCGAATATAAATCACATAAAAGAAATATTCTTGAAATCATTTTCTTTATTAACAAAACAATTCTATATAAAGTGGAAAAAATGTCTTTTGAGCACCAAATCAAAAAAGAAACAATAAAAAATTTATTAGTTATTTTATCAGAAATCAAAAAGACTTGTAGTAGATAGATGTAAAGCTGATATATTTTAATATCCTTCATTAACACAGAATAATCTAAGAAGGCGAAAACCAGAGAAACGGTAAGGATAGGATTTCTCAATATAAATGTTTACTATGATATCAGAACCCTCTAGCGTACTGCGTACAAAAATCTAGCAGTTTGGTTGACATTCATCACTAATTGTCATGAGATTAATCTGTATTAATGAAGAATATTAAAATATAGCAGCTTTACATCTATCTACTACAAGTCTTTTTGATTTGGTGCTCAAAACACACCTCATCTATACAAAATGTTAATTAACTTGCTATTGATAAATTTGAATGTTCAAAGAAATTTTCTTATTTAATCTTCTGCATAACTCGAAAATAGTACTTCGAAATCAACGTTTTTAACTAATCAATTTATGTTTAGTTGTGATAATCTCTATTATCTACAGTGAAGCCATTGATAAATATTGTTAACACAAATTTAACAATGAACTTGTTAGTAACGATAGATTAAGCAATGATGTTAGTTTTTTTTTAGAAAAAAATTCTTCATCTTTCATCAGAAAATATATTAGAATAAATTAGTTTCGTCAAGATTGATCGATATGCTAAGTTTTAGGAAGTTAACTGTGTTGATATAAATGACACTAATCAATAAGAAAATTCATTTAAAAAAAATCTTGTCAATGATTATATTATTTGATACGACAAATATTTAATTTAAAGGAATTAAACAAAAAATAAACTCATCGAAATATTTTGTTCATTGTGACATTGATTAAGATTAGATTTTTAATTGTAATGCGAAGAAATTCGATGAATCTATTTTTGATTTTCATTTTTCTAATGTTAAATCATTAATTGACATTGATTCTTGTTTGTTTCAACGATACTTATAGTTGTCTATGATAGAAATTCGAGCGAGCTTTTATCATAAATAGATATTCATCCGTATTTAAAACAATAGTCGAATTATAGAAAAAAAAAAAGATGATTTTAAACTGTCCTAATAGCTCTTTATTATTATATTAATCTATGCAACAAAAGCGGGATCACTTTTAGTTGTAAGCGACAGTTGACAGGAAAAAACTACTGGTTATCCGAACCGTTAGAACTGCGGTAGACAGCTTGTTTTTTTTGAAATAATATCACAGCGATGTTGAAAAAATTGTGGTATATTATTAAATATTAAGAGGATGTCCATTCAATACATAGATGAAGTTAGTATAGAAACTAAGGTCCATTTTAGAGTTAAATGAACATGACTAAGTTTTGAATAACTTTTGATTGGCTAAGGCTATCGAGCTCAGCGATGCGTAGTTAGAAAGAGTGGACTCCAAGGCGTCTTTCTGTACGATTTATTTGAGACCACAGTCATTTTTTTACAACTGTTTATACTTCGATATGTTGTTTTTGTGTTTTTTTCAACGAATTTTTTCGACATTCTGACTTCCATTATACCCAATTGTAGTTGGAATTTCGCTGTATGCATGATAAAATTTGACATCTTCATATGGTCTTTTTTTGATCTATAATGGGAGTCAGAATGTCGAAAAAAAATGCGTTGAAAAAACAACAAAAACAACATATCGAAGTATAAACAGTCATAAAAAAAGTGACTATGGACTCAAATAAATCGTACAGAAAGACGCCTTGGAGTTCACTCTTTCTAACTACGCATCTCCGAGCTCGAGAGCTTTAGTCGATCAAAATTTATTCAAAAAATAGCCACGTCCATTTAACTCTGAAATAGATCTTAGTTTATTTCCAAGCCAACCTACAACTAGAATTAAAAATGCAACTATATTTCTCAATAAGATGAATTCGAATCTGTATAGGCCTTTTCTAAGTTGAACTTAAATAGTTTTATTTACTCGAATTCTACTTGTACGACATCTTATGATAAGCTTTTTTTTTTGTTCTTAATCGCCTATTTAAAAAAAAAAATAAAATTTGAAATGATCAATTGTTTGTTAAAAATTTTAGATGTAAAATCGATAAATATTTACAATTGTGAGATAAAATCAATAATAGAATTTCGTCTTTTTATTAAATAAATTAAATTGTGAGTACATAAACAAATTTGTTTCATATATTTTAGTATTTAATATTATATATTGATGAAATATCTCCATGTGAATCTCATTCAATAGCAGGATATATATCATTAATTACAGCATCAATCGAAATATTTGGTTTATTTTTTGCTCGAAAATTTCTTCAATTTTTCGGTAGAAATAAATGTTCAATTATAATTTTTTTGGCATTTTCAATACGTTTCTTTGGTTATTATTTTATTGTTCGTCCTTATTTTATATTATTTATGGAAACAATGCATTTTTTTAATTTTGGTATACTATATGTACTTATTTGTGAACAAGCTCTTCATATTGGTTGACTTTTTAATAAATTTCATTTATCTTTTTTTAATTGTTTTTTTTTTTTTTTCTAGCTCCTAATGGTCTCTCTGGAACACTTCAGGGTTTAGTTTATGGAATGTGTTATGGTTTAGGTATTCAATAATATTCATTTTTCTTTTTATAAAACAAGAAAAATTTCTTATATTTCATTATAATTTAGGTCGTGGTATTGGTTTACTTATATCCTTATTGATTTTAATATGGTTAAATAAACGACACCTATTTTTAATATATTCTATATTTAATCTGATTATGCTTGTTATTTATTCAATGTATTGTATATTAAATAAACGAAGAAAATTATCTGAAACCAATTTAGAGACCGATGGTTGTTATTTATCAGATAATATTTCGAAACAATCTAGTAAAGCTTTTTTTTTTTCTCTTTTTTAAATTTATTTGTATAAAAAAAAAAAATCAATTCTTTTTCTAGAATCAAATCCCATTGAAGAATCTTTGTATAGTGATGATTATCATCAACAAAAACAAAGAAATGAAATAAAAATTTAGTAAAAATAAATATTGTTAGAAATTTAATGACACTTTAATGAAATATTCAAGCAGATATTCTATTTAAAAGGTTTTTATCATAAACGAGCTTTTGATTTTATTTTTTTGTTTATTGAATTGAATCAAAATAGTATATTTATTTATTTATTTATAAATCAATCTTATTTAATAAATAAAATTCTACAAGTTCTTCTTTGTTTTGTTTTTATATAAATGAGTTATTTTACTCTCGAATTATCATAATAAGATATCGACGAAAATTTTCAAACTTAATTCTGTTTCAAATAAATTGAATCTTTTTTTAATGAAAATATTATTTATTATAAATCGACAAAAATATTATGTCAGATAATTGAATTGAAACTTATCATCAACAAGTCATATTCGACTCAAACGAGAATTAAAACAATGATTTATTTACATTTGATTTTTATTAAAAAAAAATTTGAAGGTAAATAATTTCATTTTCGATAGGTCTAGCTCTTAAACAAATATCCATAATTATCTTTTTTTTTACTTGTATTATTAATTCAATAATTTAGATATTTTATTTTAATATTCTAAAGATTATCTAGATATTTAAATCCTATTAAATCAATAATCATACAACAATCAGAGTAAAAAATTTTTAGCAATAATTTAAATTTCTCAAATATTACTAATTCACTTATTTTTTTTCCAAATGTCGATATTGACCAAGAAAATCTATAGAATATTTATGCATTTACATTCAAAATTCAATATTATATTTGAAGATTAACCTAATCTATAATTTAAAGCTTTTATATTTAAATTCAATTGGTATTTATTCATCGTCATACTAATCAAAATCGAGTTAATCTTTTATAATCTTATAAATAAATATAAAAATAACAGGAGTCAGTCATACCGTATTCATTATGTATTATTTTTAATACATTTTTACTCAATATTAATATTCACTTATGAAATTATATATTTTATTTATTCTAATAAGATATTGATCTTGATTAATAAATACATCTTACAAATACAGACAACATAGGCTAACTGAAATTTTTGACAAATTTAAACCAGATTGAAGTTAAACTAATTCTTTTTTTAAAAAGTAAATTCAAAAAAAAAAATTAGAAACTAGACTCATTTTAGAAAAGTGAATCTGTGCTCTTTTGAATTGATATTGATCAAATCTGATTCACGATTGAATCTATGTTCAGCCACTTATTCTACTACATATATGGGTCACACTTGAAATGAGAATATCAGTTGATATTGAAATGCACGAAAACCAGAAAAAAATGTGTTTAAAACAATTTATAAACCAGAATAGGTAACTGATTTGGATAAGGATTCAAAAAATCAAGTCACATTGAACTTCATAAATATAAAACACCTTGTAGGTGTGAGTGAGAATGAAAGAGAAAAGAATTTTTACACGATATTCGTACCTGTGCCAGACACTCACATCCATACCCACGCTCTTCTTATATAAACCGAAAATGGCATGTTCGGTCTTATCCTCACTGTTGTTTCATCCGATGCTGAATCGATACGGGATAAATCATAATTTCGTCTTCGGACACACATTTTATATTAAAAATGACATACATCGGTAATATTATTGTTTGCTTTTCTTTCTTCCTCTATATGAAGTGAAAAAAAGATATATAATATGCATTGGCGGTCTGTTACATGTGTTGTTCGCTGTCGATATTGCTTATCCTGTTCATTGTACTGCGAGATGTGGTGTAGGCGTGTGATGCGGATGTGTGTTTGGAATATGGATCTTTTATTCACTCACATCCACAGCCCTCGAGCGGCTAAAATGAGATTTTTGCGAAGTTCTACAGACAATACGCTTTCGGATACGGTTCGCAACTGAAATATTTGAAAAAATTCTTACAATAGAACCCCTAATTCTTCATATGGAGAAGTCATAGATAAGCTGGTAGAAATATATACTATGAATGCCACATGGTAAACTTATCTAGCAAGTTTGTTCAGTTATACATGATGAGAAGAAGGCAATAGGATGTCCTTGTTTGAATTATTCATATGAACTTTTAATTGAAGCATAGATTGGTAATAATGCATGCAACAAACATCGCCCACCTTTTTTACATTTAGAAAGTTTTAAATAATTACTTGAAAGAGATATTCAGTGACGATGTAATTGACTTTTTAAGTCAAATGTACAATGAAATATTTCAATATAGGTACATATGTGTTGTAATAAAATAGCGTGTACTCTTGATCTATTCCTATTTTTTTCATCGCTGTCATATGCTTGATATAAGAACACAAAAATGACCACGTGAAATGAAGTTTATTTTCGAATTTTCTTTGTCACTTCTCTTATTGATCATACAAGAAAAGGCAAAGAAGAGAAAAACAAAAGACTCCATGTCATTCTGTTGTACTGCATTTATAGATATTGTAATGGACAATATGTCTGAATTATTCAATGTTATTAGTAAAACGTTGTAATTAATAGATTTTGGAATTATAAGTCAAATTCAACAAGGAAATCACAAAAGTTAATAAAATGATGTATTACTTTTTTTGTTTGAAACGGGTCACTAGTCAACAATAAAAATTAGGGCGCATTTTCTAATATTATTGGTAGAAGTTTTAATTTACTTTGAAGTAGTATCATCGTACTCTCTTGTAGTAATATTGTTTGATAAAGTTTTTTTTCAAGATAAACTCATCGAAGTCTTCAATACGAATAGTGTGACTTCTAATTTGATGATTGTTGACGTTAATGTAATAATGCAAATCAATAAGAAGCAGTTGATAATTATTAAACCGTTATCACATGCCCTTGATATCAACCATCTTTCAATAAGTAGCTATGAAGAAAACGCAATCAGAACCATAACCGTACGACATCCATATTTGACACATCAACCAAAACAGTACTGAATAATCGTTTGAACCAATCACTTATTTTGTTGTTTTACCTTTCAATGTTTACGTGAGAGGTATGTGATCGATTTGCGGAGGCATCAAGGCGTTTCATCTGTTGACATCATCAGCGTTAGAAAAGTTTTATTTGATTGAAATCTCTCAATAACCATTCATTTAAAAAATATTTAGAATTCAAAATATACGAGTATTTAATATTCAATATAATGTCTATCGGTATGTATTTAGATTGAAACAATTATTTCATATCACTCTCATTGAATGCAATGCTTAATGGATATTCGAATTACGACTGATTCAACAACTTAGGTAAAACTCTAATATCGATTATAACTTGGTTGACAGTTATGATCATCCATGTCATCGAAATCGTATCATTTTTGGCGATTAACCGATGATTTTCTAACAAACTTGAACAATAAGTTTTACTATATGAAAATAATAAACGGTAAGTATTATTTAATCCATGGAAAAATCTTTTCGTACTATTTACTACGGACGGAGTGAAAGAAGTCAATCCTCACCTTGTTCATCAGAAACATGTATGAGCAGAATGACTATTACAGGTTGGTTTTATCGCGATACCCAAAATATCACACCTGGAAACCAGCGAAAACCCATTCCATACAGATGAGAATGTTGACAGAGTGAAGAGCCATCGACATTGAATCAGACTCATGGACTACTACTGATGAGATTGAATATGTGATATGTGTATTGAAAAGCTTCAATTCAATTCGTTAAAACATATTATAACTGTTTTAATGGACTTAGTTAAAACTTGTTGATAATAATAAGTTTTGACAGATTTTTTTTCTCAGCTATCAACTTTCGAAAAACAGTTTTACCTATATTAGTCGTCTGAATATAACAATACAGTAGACATTTGCACTCAGCACGTATCTAAAAAGCAGGAGTTGTTAAAAACTTGAATTTTAAATTGCAGATATTTAATTACTGAAAAAACTAATTTGGTGCAAATGACCGAAAGAAAATCAATAGAAAATTGGGAAGATCGTGAAAATATAATCAGATATGAAAGTAATGATTTATTTCAAGCGACCACTGAATATGAAGTGAATCGTCCACCGAAATCACCTGGGCCGACATTAGGACCATATTATCAATTTGTAACAACTGATTTGGAAAAGATGCTTTGGATAGGAAGTGCGCTAATATTTCGACATGTTACATACGATAGACCGAACATTGAATTTACGTCTGAAGCAAAACTCGACTACGATTGGGAAATTTTATATGACAATATTTTTGATATGCGCGCTTATCGAATTAATCTTTATATTGAATTACGTAACAGCAACGATGACGAAAAAATTTGCTGGAAAATCGATTGGGGTGATTATTCAACAAATGGACTATTTTATATTGCTCAATATGATCAAAAATGGCGTGGTGCATTCTTCTCATGCAATGGCTTTGATATTGCTATGTCAAAACAAGTCATATCGGATATGACTTACAGTACGGTTTGGAATCATTTGCATTCTGTTCATGAAAAGACTCCACTACATCTTTTGTTATGGGGTGGCGATCAAGTTTATCATGATGGTATTTTTGAAGATGTTCCATTTTTGAAAGTATGGTGCGAAATGAAATGGGATCAAAAATGGACAGTAGAATTTGACAATGAGTCGAAAAAAGCGGTCGAACAGTATTATTTTAATAATTACGCCGAGCAGTTCGAATGTCGTCCAGAAGTAAAAAAGGCATTGGGATCGATTCCGAGTTTAATGATGTGGGATGATCATGATATCTTTGATGGAGCTGGATCCTATCCACCACTATTACGTAATAGTCCAACTATGCTAGGATTATTTGAAGCAGCACAAAAAATGAGACTGCTCTTTCAACATCATACTACGCCAGAAAAAGCTCGAAAACATCATTTGTTTGGTTTTCAAGGTCATAATTTTTTCGCTCACTGTGGTCCAAATTTAGCTATTTTGGGTGCCGATAGTCGTACTGAACGTGATGAAAAAACAGTTCAGCATGAAAAAACCTGGAATATGATATTCGAAAAACTCACTAATGATCTTCAAGATGTCAAACATCTAATTGTTGTATTTCCTATTCCATTTTCGTTTGCTCGTTATAAAATAGCTGAGCCACTCCTAGAAGTTTGGAAAAATATCACGATGAAATGGCACAATATCCCATATAGTAAAAAAACAAACTCAGTCTTTGATTTACCTGAACTCTACGATGATCGCCTTGATAAATGGACACACGAAGCACATCTTGATGAACGAAACAATGTTCTTTTTCGTTTTCAAGAGCTTGCTCACAAGAAACGAGTAAGAATTACATTTTTCAGTGGCGATGTACACTGTTGTGGTCTTGCTCGATTTCGAACACGAGGAAATAATGCTCCATCGTATATTCATGATGCCAAATTTATGTATCAAGTGGTTTCATCTGCCATTGTCAATAAACCACCACCGCTACCATCTATTCTCTGTGCCCATTTCTTTCAGACTAAATGGTATCCAATCAGTCATACCGAAGAAGAGTTAATCGATTTTTTCGACATAGCACCGGATAAAAAGACAAAACTATTCCTTAAAAAAGTTCTTGCAAACCGAAATTGGTGCTATTTTGAACAGTGTACAACGAATAACTCAACATCTCATACTATTGTTCCAAATGGTTTTCTTGAAAGTTATTTTTGGCCATTCATTGACTACTGTCTATCATCAATAGGTCTGAATCACATACTAAATTGGAAACATCAAACAAGTACACAAAATTTGACACGTCAAACTTCATATATAACATCATTTTCTACGCCAATAAGTCAACCAGTGCAAGAAGGAAACAACTTGCAACTTCGCCTGTGGTTAGAAAATATTGAAACACAAAAAGAACAACGTACATTTACAAATTATGATCTATTCATTCCTCTTTTAGAATAAATTTTCATAACAATATTATACTTATTCAAAATATATTGAGTCCAGTATAAAATCACACTTTGTAGCTCATTTTATGTTCCTATCTACAGTAGTATTCTTTTACGAATAAAAAAGCTTTTGATTGATCTTAAATAAGAGTGTCAAATTAGTATGTGTTGAATATGACAGACTAAAACAGAAGTTATCATGATTAGAAACTTCAAGTCTTATTTGAGTTTCATATTGTATGTCGTCAGAAAACTATAAAAATGACCCTTTGTCGAGAGAACTAGTTGATTAATTAATACATTAAACAAATCAAGCTTTTGTCCATTAAGCGTAGGGCTTCAACCGACCAGTTTGATCCGGTAGAAAAAAACTCTACTGATTCGAACTCTAATCTATACTCTCACTCAACTCGATTGTTTGTTGATTAACTTGACACTGTCTCCACTTGCTTTAGTTAGTGATGAGTGAATGAAGTTTGCTCTATCGAATGTTATTGAATTCGTTCATGGTTGTGATTTCTCGTCTTTCATTTCCAATCCATTCAACTCGAAGTTGTGCCCAGTTTAATGAGAATTAATAATACCTATTCCTTGAATTCATATCAGTAAGATCCTAAGATCTAATCAACATTAATAAGTTTGATCTCGATCGGATCGCTTTGAGGTAGTTCATTCTTGAACATCGTTTAGTCTCTAAATGTGTTCTCGAACAATAACTAAAAACAAAATACCACCAAACATAAGATGCAAATAATCTATGATTAATAAATCATGTGTTTTTTTCTGAGGTATTTCATTCATCAAACTTACTATTTCCATTGTTGGAAATGATTGAACAATTCGAATAAAAAATTCATTTTCAAAAGAACATTCATTACGTCATGCTAATACCCGAACATATGTAAATAGTATCTCTTCTTGAAAAATAGTCGACTCAAGAAATAATTTGATTATCTTTAAAATGAATGACCGAAATTTCGCCAACATAGCTGAAACTGATATTGTTAGAATATATATGTACCACTGCTTACACTCTTGAATGTAGTTGATAGAATTGTTTTAGTCCGTATCTAATTTATAGTCAAATTTTATGGTGAATTAATTTGATTAGGAATATAAATGTTTTAGTCGATGCAGAATTCAAATTTAGTTAATTGTGACATATGATTGATAATATTCTTCAAATTATTATTATTAACAAATTTTTTTTTTTGTGGGAGAGGCCACACAATACAGAGAGTTGTTCTAAATGTAGCAATTGCTGTAAAAGTGATAATGATTAGTTTATCATAGAAATATATTTCTATGAATATAGGACAATTAGAAACAATTGGTAATGTAGTAAATTTTTTCAAAATAGAAAATAAAATACATATTCGTAAATATTAATAGTTTGTTTTCAATAAATTAGGAATACCTAAGAGCATACTTCATGATTTATTTTTAACCACAAATGGAGAACTAATGATGTTATACTAAAATAGAATGTATAGAATTGAATGAAACGACTATAAAGTAAATTAAGACAACTGTCAACAAACTAAATATCGACATACGATTGTAGCAATATCAAAGAGAAAATGGGTTGAGATAAAATCTCGAAAGTTATTTGTTAATAATTGATAGAAGATATATAGAGCAGATTTTTAATATGAATCATATTTCATCATTAATTCTTTTTCTTACTATCTTTATTTCTATATATTTAGTATGTTACTTACACTTTTGTTGTTACTCTTACTCGTTGATAATATAAACGAAATTCAAAATTAATATATAATTAAATTAAATATGTAACAATCTATTTACTTAGTCAGTCATTTACGTCTATAAATCAGCTTTCATTTTCTTCTATTTTAACATATCAGTTATTGAACGAATTTCAAATAAACATATTTTACTAGTAAAGAACCGCAAAGCAGTCTCTTTTTCGATACAATATAAAGTGGTGGACATAAATTTAAGACATTTTTGTTTTTTGCTATAACTCAGTCGCATTAATAGCTAACAATCTGATTCTTTCACAGCTAGAAAGACGTTATTAAGGACTATCCAACCTGAAAAAATTGTCAAAATCACATATGTTTTTGATGAGCTATGGCGAAAACAATTTTATCTCAGCGGACATAAATTTAAGACACTTGTAGTATTTTGTATTTTTTCACGTAACGATTTTGTTTAAGAAAATTAAAACATATATCAATCGATGCAGAATTGAATGGGTCATCTTTTGGTACAAAGTACTTTTTGAATATTATTAGTTTTAATTAATTAATAATTATTATATTTATTTAATATTAATTAAAGAATATGGAAATTTTTTTTTTTATTTTTAACTTTCAAGTATATCATTAGAAAGAGCGTCAAAAACTGAACAAAATGGTATATTGCTTTTGCTAAAATAATTCGTTTTAGTAAGATTTTAAT